ACTTTCTTAACTTATTGCTTCCAGTTGTTTCTCATTCGGTTTTCTTATTACCCTGAAGATGAAGTTTAAGAACAAGACCAATTGCGAATCGTAGTCGAATTCACTCAAAACACGAACTTTGTCGCCTTTTTAGAACCATTTTCATTTGTAAAAAACAGAAAGTATACTGTTGCCAATTTTACGCATTACATGAATGATTTGGTTCTCTTTGTCCAACACTTTGAATTTAGCTGATGGTAAATTTAACGAAATGAAATTAAAAATTCAGCTAATTGTCCCTAAAACAAAGGTGGAAACGTCACCTCCTGAAAGTTCATCGAAAATTTATTAGGACAAAAATACTACCAGTAGTACACTGCCAAACATGCTTGCAGGAATTGGATTGCTTATTATACTGCCACCCGTTATCATTAAACATTTGATTGGATTGACAATAATGTAAGTTAAAGTATTTGCTGTTATCATATCAGTAATTCGGTTTACATATCTGTTAATGTACTTCTTCACTTTCAGTACAATATTATTAGTTAATGAAACGGAATAGTACTCAATTTAAATCTACATTCGATTAATAACAGGACAAGCAACAACTAAGTTCCACACGTCTTATCAGGTTAGGCTTAATTTGTCGCACACATTAAACATTAATGCTTTTTCAAAGGCCAACGTTCCCAGCAAAAGCTTATTTCAAATTTGACCGTTGAACAATAACATTAATGCAGTAACAAGCTCAAGTGCTAGTGGATGTGGTCAAAGAGAAGGTCAACTTAATCAATTCAACCGAATTCTTCTAGCTGATGACCTTCCCCACTTGGTCCTGGTTTGAGTTTCCATGCAGGAGCATGTTTGGTGGAAGTTTGTCATATCCTTCTCCATATGGCAATTATTATGGCAGTTACGGTTATTATAGTGGGTACACATTGTGAAAATTGTTTGCTTCCTTGACGACGAAGTCCTTTCTTGTTGATTGAGACAGATGAATCGTTTTGATAAAAGTTTATTGATAAACGGGGAAATATTATTAGTATACAATGGGGAAGAAGTGCACAATTAACAGTGCGAGTGATTAAATTAAGTGAATAATTGTTGAGTCAATAACTGAAGTGAAATGAATGTTTATCACCCAAGTCCGAGATCTTTTATCAAAGAATGGAATGGAAGGAAAAGGGAGTAACGATATTACCGGTATTACTTACACGTAAATACGAGTATTAGTGAAAGTGGAGAGGCAAAAACAATTCTGCTACCGTCCTTCATCATACGAAATTCTTTCATTGTTGTTGTGAGGAAAACTTCAACTGTTTCGAGGAATATTTCGAAGGACATAAGATTCTGAATATTGCTGGGTTATTCTGGATCAGAGCTATCCTTATTATGCAACCAAATCGAAGCACAAATTTAATCCAATGAATAATTGTTCACTCAATGACTGAAGTGACGTGAAAAGTTCAGCCACTGATTCAACAGTCATTCACAAGCTTAAATGCGTGCTTCGATTCGGTTGTACAATGGTCCTGGAAGACATTCCTACTTCAACCTTTCTCTAACGGGAGTTTCACATCACTTTGACCCTTCGTATAGCAGGAGTTTGCTTGAAACATCCTGATGATTACGCATAAAGTTCTTCAACATTTTGACAATTGTACATAAAGCTCTGTACAACATCAGTTGATTTGTACAACATGAATACATTTCTATCAACTTAGCAACATCGGCATATTTCTATATTACAAAATATTTCGGTTTTTCAGACAATACAGAGGAAATAGTAGGTATGGACCATTCTATTATTATAGTCATTCTCCCTATTTACTACTATTACTAGCTATACCCGGTCATGCGTTGCTGTGACAATGTATGGCTAGATATAGCCAGTATACACATAAATAACCTAGAAACAAACATACACGCAAACACATATATATGCACATATGCACACATACACACGTGCACATACACACACACGTGCACATATACATATGCACACATACACACGTGCACATACACACACACGCATACACCCCACAGTGCACTGATTTCTCTTATCATACGACTAACAAATTCCTTGTCCTTGCTTTCGATAATAATTGGACTGTCGGTTAGTTGATAGGTCGTTGAATTGGGGATATGCTACGGAAAATGTATTTAGCGAATAATATCCTGCATTGTAAAACCAAGTTAGGATGCTTTTATTGCAAAAAGTCACATAATACTGCCTTATGTAAGGATACGAAGACACTACATCAAGAAAGTCTGCCGATAGTAGGAAAATGCACTACGTCTCGTATTGGAAAATTGCAAATGTAGCATGTCGCCGATTTTCTTCAACCGTGACAAAACTGAGGGTTCTTTCTGCCTCTTTAGTTGGTAGTACCTCAGACTTGGATAATTAAACCTTTATTGCGATAAATTTATCAATATAACAACGAACTTGCAATTACGACATCGATACAACAAATTGATAACGAAAACTAAACGAAAAGATTAAATCACGCCCGATATCCTCCAACCAACCGACCTGTCGAAAGGCATCTTTAGAAATGATTTGGCGCTCAGGATGGTCCGTTTCTCCGAGTGGGAGGGTGCTTGTACCGCTTGTGATTACAAGAAGTAGCTTCCTCATAGAGCGCACATTGTATAAGGTTAAGACGATATGGGCATATACAGCAAAAATGTCTGGCTTCCAACAAAGTTTCCATTCGCCATATCAGCGACACTCCCGAGGCGAACATAATCTGCATCCTTATCCTCGGTTGGAAACTTCCAAAGGATAGAGGTGTCCCACTGCTCTCCCTAGTTCTTTTCCGTTAGCTATTCTTACAACCGCTGATCGACATAATACCATCTTTGTCCCTTATAAGTCTGTCGATTCTTCCCATTCTCCAGGTATTTCTGGAACAGTCTTCTTTCAAGAACACCAGCTCATCAATTTCGGGTTCTCGTCGAATACGGCTGCGAGGCCCTCGGTGTTTGCGTTGAGCTCGTTTTCTTAGTTCTTCTAGGTATTCTTCTCGCCATACTTTCCATAGATGATCAAATCTCTTGAATGTGATCATGTATTAATGTTTCAATTCCTTCGTTTGTAAATTTTCTTCCTCCATATCGTTTTGTCTCTACGATAAGCCCTTTCTTCTGTTAAATTTTCTCCTCGAGCTGAGCCTGGATTCAAGAAATCCCCAGGTCTTAACACTAAACCTATTTCTTCCAGATCCACCAGGGGTTTTTCATTGATAATCGCCTCAAATTCAGTGATTAAAGTTATCAATTCTCCGTTGTTAAAAAGCTTTGTACCGATGCCTTTTCTTAGAGATTTTTTAACTACTCCAACCATTCTTTCGTAAACGCCGCCTTACCAAGGAGCGCCTGGAATAATGAATTCCCACTCCATTGTTTCATTTTCCGCTGTACTCAATTCTACAAGTACTTTGGAAACTGCTATAAAGTTCTTGACATTATCGGAAATTATGTGTTGTGGTTGTTTTCTTCGGCTTATAAATCTTCGGAATGCCTGTACAAATTGTTCAGTAGACATAGTTTCCATTACTTCGAGATGCACAGCTCAGTGACTAAACATGTAAACAGAGTCACCCATCGTTTGGCATTGGCATGATCCTCCTTTGTTAGAACTGGCCCAAACAGGTTTAACCAACTGTTTCGGACGGTCTCGTCCCTACAACTCTAGCAGCCGAATAAGGAGGAAAGTCTGGTCCCTCAGATGACGTAGCCATCCACATAATACAACCTTTACAAATCTTTCTCAAAATTTTCTTGATATATGACCGCCCATGGGGGATCCAATACCGCTCTCATTTTGCCCTAAGTGTAGTGTACGCTCACATGAAATAATTTCTCATGGTAATGCTTCACGATCAGTTCTGCTATCTTTCCTCTGTTGATGAAATACGGAAAATCCTCAATTCGATGCATAGCCTAAGTCTTCCAACACATCTCCAGATTCCATTCTGGTCTTAAAACCCAGTGTTCGATTTCCTTTTGCATTATGTTTAACTGTGCCATCTCGACTATCAATTGTATTACCTTGTCATACTCATTAGATGCAAAATTCTCTCAGGAGAACCTTTTCAAACTTCTTCTCCTTTGACATCGCAAGGAATCATAAGACGTTTAACATCGTTCTTATCAACTTAGACAGTGATGAGAATCGTAACTCATCTATTAATGCCGTAACTTGATCTGACTGTATCGCTTCTTCCATCAATCCTATGGCCATACATACTTGTGATATTTCCTTTCATAACTTTATCCTCGGGCCATTTTTCCTTCGGCTCCCATAACCATGATGGTCCATTCCACCACAACGAATTATCTTTCAGTTTACCTGGGAGAAGTCCTCGTGAAGCCTGGTCTGCTGGATTACTTGCTGGTCTTATATGACGGAATTCAATTTCTTTATTTCTTCTTATCCCATCAATTCTGTTTGAGACATATCTGGATCCTCCGGCGCTTTTCTTAACCAGTGCAGGACACAAGCGCTATCCGTTCATAAATATGTTTTTTCCGCTTCGATTCCTTTCTTAATGAATTCCAGTACTCTTACTCCAATTGTGACCGCGAGTAATTCTAATCGAGGAATACTGGCTGACTGATTCCTTTCTCGTTTTGGAACTAATCTTGTCTTTCCGTATATCAATTGTGGTTTGGATGGAGTGATATTACTGCGTACGTATACTGCTAATCCCAGAGTTCTTTGGGATGCATCTACAAACATATGCATCTCGGAGCACTCTTGCGGCGTTCATCGAGATACTTTTATGACATCCTGTTGGTTAAATGCCTTTTCTAACCCCAAGCAACGTCTCATTTTTTCTGGTTCTAATTTCTCATCCCAGGACACACCCTTCTTCCATAAGTCTTGAACCAACAGTTTCCATGGGAGTATGATCGGACATAATAATCCCAATGGATCGTAAATAGCAGCATAAAATTGTAATACCTGGCGTTTGGTCTAAAGACCTTCTTCTAGGATTTTCCAGCTTCAAATAAACTCATCTTTGATATTATTCCATTCGATTCCTAACAGTTTGGTAGCGGTCTTCTTTGTTATTTCTTGCTCACTATCCATCTCAACATCATAGTTCGCATGAAATTCTCTTAAGTGCATTTTGGCTTTCATAAAGAGTTCTTTTGCTTCCTGTGGTTTTCCATTACTTTCTAATTCACTTCCTGCGGTTAATACAACATTATCAACATACAGATTCTTTGCTACTGCTGATAATTTAGAGCTTTCTTCATTCAGTAGATGTCTAATGACAGCGACCAGTAGAAAAGGTGAAGACACCACGTCGAAGGAACTCGCGTGAATCGGTAAGTAGCTAGGTTTTTTTGAGTCACTTCCTTCGTCTTGTCTTTCAGCCATAAAAACCTGATGACATCTCTGTCTTCCTGTTTTAGGCTCACTTGCAAAAATGCTTTCTCTACAACGACTATCACCAAGTAACGTCCTTGTCTGGGCCGTAATAGAATTCCTGCTAATGATGGCATCATTGCTGGTCCCCTATACAGACATTCATTTAGTGATGGGCTTTCGTTCCTCTTTGCTGATGCGTCAAATACTACCCTAAGCTTCGTGGTGGATTTCTTAGGTGTTATTATCGCTTGGTGGAGCAGGTAAGATACTCGCCATGTTTCATTCTGATTCTTCACCCTTTCTATGATTCTTTCCTCAAGTAAGGTTTTGATATACTCATCGTAACATCTTAATAATTCTGGAGACTTCTTCAGTCTTCGTATTGTAGTTCGTAGACGTCCCCATGCCAGTCCATACCCTTTTGCTGGCGTTATCTCTTGTTCTTCCATGGCCAGCTCAACACATCTCCTTTCTTTGTCCGTGGTGAGCAATTTTTGAAAAGCTTCAAGGGCTTTTTCATCCTGATAATCCGTCATTAAATGTCTAATCCCAATTGCTTCTAATTTCCACGTTTGTTCAATCTAGTCCATGTGAATTTGCGATTCCTTCTTTGTTATGTTTACAATTGTTTGGAATTTATGACTCGTCATTTCTGTTTCCTGTATCATTATCTTGTGTCACTTTCCGTTTGCCGCCTTCGACCACTCCTATTTCTGTTTCCATAATCATCCATCTGGTGGGCGCTTTATGGAATTACGAATGACTAAATCTGCAATCTCTTCTACGCCTAACACATCCGGTTTTCCCCATTTACCTTCAACTAGTTTGTTTCTTTTATTGTTTGTTACATACGGTATCCGTTCGAGTATTGAATCGACAATGTATGGTTGGATATTCTTCACATTCCCGGACAGCGTTTGAACTCCGAAGGTTATCTTTCGGCTTTCGTATTTCCTTGTGCCCACTATTCCTGTTATTAACATTCCCAAACTCGGTGATGTTTGTTTTAAGCTCAATTTGCTTACTATTGATTCTGTAACATAATTACAATCACTTCCTGTATCGAA